AACATGTGGCAGGATAGCTGTTGCCCCTTTATCATATCTGATAGAGCTGATAAGAAGGGAGGGTACAGACAATTATGAAGCTGTAGTGTATCACTGGCTACTTGTTGAATTGTGCAGTGCTATAAGTGAGCACTCTGTTCTCTGAGACAGAGAGCAATATGAGCTTGTAGTTGTTCAGTCTCATATAGAAACTGTTACCTGTTTTGTCTTATTATTCAACTGCTGAATGTTTCAGTTTGTTTATACTCTCTTACTATCTTGTTCTTCCCACTTATATTTGTTGTCTATATCTCCATTTCTCACATAGAAACTGTCAACTTTTCTATGTTATTCATTCTGAATATTGTCTCTGCATTCAACTGCACTAGATATTTTTTTCTTTTCATACTTTCATTTTATCTTATTCCTTTTAATTTCTATAGTTTTTGTCTACACTTCAATTTTTCACACAAGGCACTCAACTGCTTTGTATCATTCATTCAGTCTAAGAATGTTGTCTTATCATTCAACTGGTAAACATTTTGTCTTTCTACACTTTTCATTTTATCTTGTTCCTTTCACTTTCTATAGTTTTTGTCTACACTTTAATTTTTCACACAAAGTACTCAACTACTTTATATTATTCATTCAGTCTAAGAATGTTGTCTTATCATTCAACTGGTAGACATTTTGCTTTGTTTATTTAACTTTCTTAATCTTTCTGATTTTTATAGTTTTTGTCAATACTTTTATTTCTTACACAACATAAAGACACTCAACTGTCTTATATTATTTATTCATTCTGAGAATGTAGTCTTAGTATTCAACTGCTAAACATTCTCTTTTGTTCATACTTCCTTACTATCTTATTCCTTCTATTCAACTTTCTTATAGTTGAAAGCTCAAGATAGCAAGACTGATCCGTTCTCACAGCTGAGGTGACTCATATCTATTTGGTATTTTCCCGAAAGTCAGTGTCTGATTGCATTTATGACAGAGATCCTGCCTTCCACAGCCTTGACAAACTTGTTGCCATTGATTTCCTCGAGAACCTGCCGCTCGAGTACAAGAACTACTTAAATAACATGTTGGGATCCTGCATTGATACTGACTTGTTCATGGTTCACCTGGTCCCGCATGCGTGAGCAATACTTTCACACCCTTCATCATCCGCTAATATAAAAAAACAATACCTTAGCGCGACGATTACATTGCATAATCCATACTTAGACTTTAACAATCCTCTTTCTTAATCGACCAGTCGTTGCATAACAGCGGCTAATGCAATCCTGGAAGCTTATTACGCCTTCAGCAAAGCTACGGCCTTTACTACACCTTTTTCTGTCTACCCTCCAATATTAAAGTTACACCCTTTTGTCACGGTAAGCAGATTTTACCCACTCTTAATTTGCGTCATAATAATTGTCTCGATAGATCTGTTAGTACTTGGCTGCAGTTGTTAAAATTCAAGTACGCAAACACATGATTGATAGTAATCAGTCAACTGAAGAAATTGGTGTCTGGGGCGAGATAAACGCTATGAGGTACAATATCACCCATCGGAAGTGCGTTCTTTCTGCACTGTTGTTCTGTATGATACTCATGTACAATTCAACTGACAGCACATCAAGAGAGACTTCTGAGCACCCTGATGTCCGAGATTGTTCGATCTACGTCTCAAGATAAACCTCTCGAGATTGGTGGTTACGAGATCAGTGGGACTGGGTCGCGATTATATCCACATTCCGCTAAGGCTGCATTTGCACATGTGAATGATGCTGGAGCGCCGCTACCCACCTCACCACCAGTCGAGCATTTCGGTTCGGTCGAGCCGTCTCCGCTCGGGATGTCCGGTGTTCACGCACAGATACAGACACAAGCTAATCATCATGGCATCCAACAACCATGGCTTGGAAACCGTTCCGACATGTCGCAATCTCAATCACCGCCCGCTCTTTCTTCAACAAGCCCTTTTATGGCCTGAATCTGCTTATTGGACTGTTTTCGTTTTTCTTACTCCTGTAGAATGAATTTCACCGTGCGTTTGGTTCTTCTTCCCTTTGATTCAATCAGTGTAGTGCTATCGTAACATCACAAAATCAAACAGACAATTGTATACCCTTGTCTATTTGACAAGTATTAGTGAGCTATATAATGCATTTTATGCTTATTTATGACAGAGATAAGTATATATTGTAGGAACAGAATTGTAATTGAAATATATTCTTAAGGAATTATTTGACATGAATATAATGGATTATAAGACTTAAACAAGACATATATAGTAATTACAAGATAGGGTAAATATTACAGTTTTCTGACAACCTATTTCAAGTAGATTGTAATAATTTTACTTACTAACATTACTATTATATTACTTGAGTCCTTTAGAAAAAATATGATCTCTCACAAAAGACGAAGGAAATTTTGCATAAGTCCATTTTCCCACGTCCATTTCTATCACGTGTAAGTTTGTTTTTTGATACAAAAGATGTTCTTGCCAGCTCACAATTTCTTCCTTTCTCCCCAACATTTTCTTTGTGTTTGTCCACTGTCCCCCTCCCTCTCTCA